CCGGGGAACACCCGCGCCCCCCGCCCCGTTCAGGGCAGCATTCCCAACGCTCCAGGCTTTCCCGAGGGGTCCCGGGGAGGCAGGGCCAGGGACCCACCGCTCCCCCAGGGAGATGAGCCGCCCCATAGTGCAGAAAGAAGGTTTTCTGCTCTGACCCATCCAAGGGGCAGCCGCCCCCACAGGTCCCCGTGTCCCCCTCCCGCTCCCCAGGGCTCAGCCGCGGGGCAAGGGGTGGCCACAGAAGCCAGAACCTGAATTCTCCCGGCTCAACTCCCTCAGGGAAGGCACGGAACAGGAGTTCCCCCCCCTCCGAAACAATCACACAGGAAACAAAGACAATTCAACACAGGAAAGTGCTTTGAAGAGGGGAGGGCTCAGAGAAATGAGCCTCTCCAGCAGCGAGGAGTCGTCCCGCGGCGCAGCGTCCTTCACAGTTTGTGTCACCCGCCCAGGACGGCGGCTGCGGGTCCCTCCATCCCAGCGCTGCCCCCTCGGGCTCCCCCGTCCCCGTCACCACAGACACCCCCAGGAACCAGAGCCGCCGCCGGTTGCCTTTTCCCAGAGGCTTCACACCACCAGGGAGCTGTGGAAAACGACGCTCTCCTCGGGTTGGCCGCGTTTCCAGTGTTCGTAGTTCAGTGAAGGAGACTTGGGGACCTCCCCGAAACCATCTACAGCGTCTTTCCGCACCCCAAGGAAGGGGCCCGGGGCCGAGGGCTGGCAGGACGTAAACGTGCCCGTTGGGGGGCTGGAAGGAGCTGGGAAGCCCCGGAAGAGGAAACCCACGTTTGGGAAGAGAGGTTTCACCAGGCTGACGGGGCAGAAGGCAGAACCGGTGGGGTTGAAGTGCACTTTGTTCTTATCAGGGCAGGAAAGCTGAAAGGGCTGCTCGGGGCCAGGGGAGCTGGAGGGGAAAAAGAGGGGACACGGTCACAACGGAGACTCCCCCAGGGCACGGAAAACACCCGGAGCTGCATGCTCTTCTAGAGCCTGACTAAAGCCAAACTGCCTCTGCTCTTCCGGTACAGAGCACCAGGAAGGGCCTGGTTTGTTTGGGAAGCACAATTATTTACAGGAGAACCACCACTTCTCCCCAAGAGGCTCTGCTGGGCTGAGAAAAACCTACTCCAAGGAATCCCAAGATCCTTCTGAGTGTGTCCGAGGGTGAACAATTCCACTTTTCAGCCCTTCTCACCACATTTTTTTCCTTCGAGTTTTCCTAGAGGCTGCTCCCTACGTTTACAGCAGGTTTGGGGTGGCAATTGCAGCACCAGAAGCCTCAGCGGCCCCCACCCCCAGCACCACCCTCCCAACCAACAGCTCCTCCAACTTACGAAGCTTCTTCAAAGGCCCGGACCTTCTCACACCCCTCAGGAGGCTCCCGTTTAAACATGTAGCTGTGGTTGGGCCGAGGAGAAGAGGCGAAGGCCAGGACTGGGGAAGGGCTGCCCTCCTCTGGCAGGGGGGGAGAGAAAGAGATTGTGAGAAATATTTAAAAGAATCCAACAACATTTTGACACAGAACATGTTCTTTTAGACCCCGGGGCTGCAGGTTACAACACCCCAAAGCCACAGTGGTTTGTCTGTGTGGTTCCCAGTTCACACCCTCCGTCCAGTGCTGGAAACCACCCAGCCAGAGGGTAATTACTGGAGATTTAAAGTCCACTACAGCTCAGCCAAACTGGCCGAGACCCTCTCTCCTTTCTCAGCTGCCACTTCCAACCCAGCACAGAGCGGGAGGAGCCGTCGCACCGAGGGTTTGGTGTCACTTGGGCCTCTTTGTGTCCCCCCTCTGTGACGTCCAGCCCCTCTGCTTTCAGTCTTTTACCTTTCTCCATTGGATCTGGCTGCGCCTCGTCGGTCGCAGAGGAGGGCTCTTCTGCTGCCAGTCTCACCGGGGTGTGCGGAGAAAGGCGGAGAGACACGGAGGGGGAAGGGGAGAGAGAGAGGCTGCTGCAGCTGCTGCTGGGCTCCAGGGTCAGGGATGTGTCTCCAGAGCCCCTCTGGGCCGGTGCTGGGGCCCTGTGCCCGTCCGGGACATCCAGTATCTAGGGAGGAAGCAGAGTTTTAGCAGAGAAAAAAAGCTCCCACACCTGCACAGCACCAAGGAGCCTGTGGATGCCAGTCTGAGATCAAAAATGCTGTCCATGAGGTATCATCAATCCCGAGATCGCTGCCGGCTGGTCTCTCTCAGCACCAGTAGGTTTTAGGGAGGGAAGCCAGCAGCTGCTTGGCCCAGTTCAGAGAGCTACGTGCCTAGAACAAACTAAAACTGGACACAGAGACCGTCCCCGTGGCCAGGAGACAGGCAGCCTCTTTAGAAGAAAGGATCTCCAAGACAACCCAGAAGGTTCGGGGCAATCCTGTGACCTTTGCTTACCCGCAGCAGCTCTTCATCCCCCTGTTCCTTCACAAACACTTCCTCCAGCTCCTGGTTCAGCCCTTCCAGGCTCCGGTGCAAGCAGGGGCTGAGCCTCAGCATGGGAGATGGAGAAAGGAAGCCTGAAGGAGAGTCCTGTAACAATCCAGAATCAGAGAAGTTAGAGCTCCATCTGCCCAAACTCAGCAGTTCCACCCTGTTCCCAAATCCCTCCAGGGCTCAGCCAGAGCCCTCCAGGAGCCTGACGGGAGAAAACTGACAGCAGAGTCACACAAACTCACTGACTTCAGATCAAAGCCCAGGGACACAGAGAAGAGGTGGGGGGAAGACAAAAATATCTCCCCTTCTCAGGAACGAGAGCAAAAATCTGAGAACAGCTTGGACACCTGCCCAGAGGAGCTCATTCTCCACCTCTCGGGGACACAGGGTGACAGCAGAGCAGGGGGTATGTGAACGTACCCTGAGCGATCCGAGGACAGCGTGGTCCCCCTGCAGCGGGGAGTTCTTCTCCTTTTCTTTCCCACTTCTGCCATTGAGCTTTGTTCGCTGGAGCTGCTGCTTCAGTTTGGCAATCTAGCAAACAGAGTTTCGGCTACAGAACCAGACAAACCAACACACCTCCAACCACCACAAAGGATTGTGCCCTGTCTCTCTCCTCCCCCTCTCTTCCGACCCACAAGGAAGTGCCAAAATAGAGACAGTTTCAATCCCACAAGCAGCAGCTCCGGCCACCTCTCAAAGGATGGACCAGAAGTACTTGCACGCTGAGAGCACGAGCTCCCCCTTCTCTAGTGGACCTGTGTTATCCTCCACTCACAGAGCGTGAGGAACCAGGCCCCGCTGAACCCACATACGCCGCGACACCGAGGAGAAACGCACCGACTTTCAGTGGAGCTACTGCTGGAGGAAGCCAACGAGATGGGTCTTTGGTTGAATCCAAGCATTCGGGATGAGAATGAGGGATACGGTCCCATCTCCAACACCATCCTGTCCTCCCACTCCCCTCCCACGCCAGCAGAAGCCTCCTCTACATTAGCAACTAACCCAGATCTTGCTCAAGCGTGGGGAGTGTCTATTTTACCTCTCTGCGGTGATCTGTGCTACCCCAAGAAGCAGAACGTTTGTGAGCACTGGAGCTGCCTCTCCCGGCTTCCGCGTCGGGCCAGGACACTGGAGTCTGAAGTGATGAGAAACACGGCTGAGAACAATCACAACATTCACTGCTTCAGAGACTGGTGGTAGAGTCCCAACAAGCAGCTACCGCCCCTTCAGCCCTATTCCTGTATCCCCACCGGTAACACAACACTCTGTAACGTGCACTAAGACACAACCATCTATTTATATTTGCCAAAATGAAGTCAGTTTGGCCAGATCTGTGCCTATCAGGAAACTAGACCTCACAGACCTACACGGCCAGAGACCTGCCCAGAAGCCAGTGGCTTAAAATCACCACAAATACCCGGTGAGATAAAGCCATTACCCCAGAGGAACAACCCCGACCGCCCCCTGTGCCGCTCACAGAGGCTCCCGCCTGACAAACAGTGACGCAGGGTTCCGGGCACTCGTTGTACGAAGCAGCGTTAACGAGAGGAAAAGCCTCACCCAACTGTGAGAACACACAACTCGCTTCCGAGACCTCAGGCTCCCACATCCCCCTTTCAAAGGGGTAACCAAGCCCGAGGTTTGGGGTGCAGACAGACTGCCACCGCTGCCGGGCCGTGGGAAGAGCCCAGCTGCCCTCCCCCAGCTCCCCCCCCTCGCTCCCCAGGGCTGGCCCTTCTCAGCTGCCTCCCTTCATGCAGAAAAACAGCCCCAGCACCACGTTACGCAGCTGTTTTCCAAGCAACAGCGACATTTGGAATATCAATGGAAATCCAAAAGGGCTGTTAATCTGATCAGCGAAGGGTGTGAACTTCCTTCCACTGAACTCAGCCCTCTCTCGGCAGAGACTCCAGGATGGGAACAGTCCCAAAGGCACATCATTTTCAAAACCAGCCATCATTTCCCCCCCTCCACCCGCCTCTCAACATCCCATTTCAGCGCCTCTCCAAGCGCTCGCCCCGTGTCACCGCTGCCATTTCTGTGGGAGGTTTTGGATGATGTTTCCCTGCTCCATCCTCGGCGAGAGGCTGCCAGGAAGGGCCTGAGAACGGCTCCTCTCCAAGCGGCTCCACTGACCTCCCCAGAGGCTGCTGCAAGAACAGCAGCTGTTTTAAACAACCCCATCGAGTCATGGGGATGACAGAAGCCTCTTCTCTCCAAACAGGTTTTAAGAATCTATTTAAACCAAAGGAACAAGGCGAGTTACCCGGAGAGGTACCAGGTTTCCCCTCCGTAAAGGGATACAGGTGATTTCTAGGCAGGAATCCAACCTTCTCCTGACTTTACAGGCTCTGAAGGAACCCCCTTCCTTCCACACCCGGCTGTAAAGCAGAGCACACGGCGCTCCCTGCAGCCAAACCCATCTGTTGCCTTGGTCTCTGTTTTGCAACGCCTGTGGGCAGCGGCCATCACAGCACAGAAGTTCTTCTGCTCAATTTCCAGCGTTGGGTTTGGTTGGAGAGCAGGATTCCATTGCTCCCTGTCCTGCCACGCTCAGAGTCGGTCGCAGCCGCCTCCACGAGACCCCAGGGAGGGACCCAGGCGATGGGAAATCCCACTGCAGGGACCAACCCGGCAGCTCCAGCACACGGAGCAGCTGATCCTATTTCCTACCTCGGATACTCTCTCCTAAACAACTCAAACATCACCATTTGGCCCTTATCCCAAAACATCGGTTCATTTCATATCCCCATAGATCACGCACGTAAGAAGGCTGAGGAGAGGAGGCAAAGGTCTAAGAGACAAGGCCACAGCCCTGTCCCACGTTACTGCGAGAGGCAAATCTGTGGGAAGCTGAACTCCAGCTGCTCGGAACAGCCCTGCAAAGCAGGAGGGGATGGAAACTCTCCTCAAGTCACTGGAAACCTCCTGAGCCCTGTCTGAGAAGCCACTTACTGCAGCCTGTCGCTGTGGTACAGAATCACAGAATGACATGGGGGTGGAAGGGACCTCTGGAGATCATCTCCTCCAACCCCCTGCCAGAGCAGGTCCACCCACAGCAGGTCCCACAGGAACGTGTCCAGGTGGGTTTGAATGTCTCCAGAGAAGGAGACTCCACCACCTCCCTGGGCAGCCTCTGCCAGGGCTCTGCCACCCTCATGTTTAGATGGAACTTCTCATGTTCAAGTTTGTGCCCATTTCCTCTTGTCCTGTCCCTGGGCACCACTGAAAAAAGCCTGTCCCCATCCTCCTGACACCCTCCCTTGAAGTATTTATAGGCATTGATCAGATCCCCCCTCAGCCTTCTCCTCTCCAGACTAAAAAGCCCCAAGTCCCTCAGCCTCCTCGTACGACAGATGATCTAGTCCCCTCATCATCTCTGTAGCCCTCTGTCCTCTCCAGCAGTTCCCTGTCCTTCTGGAACTGGGGAGCCCAGAACTGGACCCAGTGCTCCAGATGGGGCCTCCCCAGGGCAGAGCAGAGGGGGAGGATGACCTCCCCGAGCACTGAGAACTGCACCGGTGCTCACCAAAAAACCTAAAAAGGCCTAAAAAGGAAGAAGAGAGGCTGTTTGCAATAGGAAAGCCTAAAAACGAAGAGCGTCCCACCTCTCGCAGGCACCATCAAGGCAGAAGGAAATTACAGAACCTTTTGTACTAACTGGCAAAACCACTTCCTCCAAAAAAAGGAGAGTAAGAAAAAAAAATAATAAATTGCTTTGCGCAGTAAGATAAAGCCACACGCTCCCATCGTGTCTAGTGCTGCCACCCTCACCCCCACGCCGAGCACCTGCGGGTCCTGCTCTCGCTTCACCACCCCACGACAGCGAATCTACAGAGCTCTGCAGAACAGCTGGTCAGCAGCTGAGCGGGGAAGGAAGCAAACGTGTGCTGGCTCGCGGAGAAAGTCCCAGCTTCGGTAACTATTAAGGCTGAAAACATGGAAGGAGCAGCAAAATCCCAGAGGTTACGACGAGGTGGTGTTTTGGGAATACACAGGGCAGTCTGGAACCCGGGATTTTATTCCTGGCTTTTAACGAGGAAGAGTTTGACACGTGGAGAGAGGTTTGTGTGTGAAACAGCACGATGGCAGGTGTGTTGCAAGGCAGAATTAGCATTTGGAAGACACTCGCAGATAAGTGATGAAAGACTGGGGCACACCTGGCCCTTTCATTGCAGAGAAGAGCCAGCGGCTCCACGCTCAGCACAACCTCAATTAACACAGCAGGATCCTCCAACCTGGGAAGAAGGAGGTGCCTCCTCTTCTCCAACCCTTTCCCCAGAAGGGCGACATGCAAGAAAAACTCAATAGCCCCAACACACTGGGGGTTAAGCGTTCCCACCGTCACTGATGAAGACAAAAAGGAAGAGTGAGCTTCCCTGGCTCAAAAATAAAGTTAGACAAATTCTTTCCCTTCCTTTCCAGTACGGCCTCTGCCCTCAGCAGTGCTCCTGGGCACTGGAACCGAAACAAAAGCGGGCGAGAACCCTTTGGAAAAGGACAATGGAAGCTGGAATCCAATTGAGAATTTCCTGCAAACAGCCCAGTAATAAATTGTCCAATAGCAAAGATCAAACAAGCAAGTTACCAGCGATTGAACGCGCCAAATAAACGACACGTTAAGCAAACGGATGCTCTTATCCTTCTAAATTCCTTCACCTCCGCAGATAGGCAAGCGCTGTTTGCTGCCGTACAGTAATATTTACAGGTTGCTAAGAGTTCCTCGAGGGCTGGAGCTTTTCCATCCTACAGTAGAGAGTAGCGAGCCCTTCTGCAGGAGCACCCTTGACTTCTGGCCGCGTGTGGCACGCAGCCCGCCAGCCTTATATAAGGACTTGGCCCAAAACTGCAAGCCGGGAAGGGGGAGAAAAATAATTAGCATTAGGCAGTGCTGGAGCAGAAAGCCAGCGGCCATCTGCCTCCAAACAAGGCCAAGGAAATTCTAACTCTGCACCAAAGTGGAATCAATTGAAGCTGAGAAGCAAAAGAGGGACAAAAAAAGCCTTCCTAGAAAGCTGCAGCTGCACAGATGGAAATTTAATGCTTTCCCTGTTCACCCCTGGTTTCCAGGGTTCAGTTCTGTAACCCTCTGCTGGCCCAGCCCGGGGGTGTCTGTACCTGGGTGGCTTTGTCACTCATGCACGAGGTGGGAGCTCCTTCGGTGTCCCTTGGCCACTGTCCCAACAGGTAGGAGCCCACGATGGTGTCCAGCGACGAGGTGCGTCGCACCCGGGGCTGCCGGGGCCGGCAGGTCTTCTCCACCGCAGCAGCACAGGGAACGCTCGCTAGAAAAGGGAGAAAAGGAAAGAAAATGAGATTTTCAAAGCCAAGATTCACAATTAATGAGCCCACATGCATCGCAAAGATCCCAAGAAGGGAACTGGCACATCCAGCCTGGAGAAGTCCATTTATTTTTTGGAAACCAGACTCTTATTGCCTCTAATGTGCCCTGTGAGTTCCCACCCCACAGGAGCAGCAGCTCATCCCTGCCACAACCACGGGGCTGCCCGGCCTCATTCCCCGCTCCAAGCTGGCTACCGAAATCGGTCAGCAACAGAAACACCACTGCAGCAGAGCAGGCCAGGGAGGGCTGGTGGGTTGATTGACCTCTTACTCCCCCACTCTGCTGCAGAGCCCCGTGTTCACACTTATCACCGAGAGGTTGCTGGTCTAGAAGCAGAGATTTTATTGCAGTCCTTAAGTGGCCGCTTGAAACCATTGACTGAACATTCCAGCCGAAGTCGAGGGAGCTGCTACACAACCGAGTGAGATTTCTGGTGTGTCCACGGTGCTTCTGCATGAACACTGTAGGAAAAAACCGCCACTATGCCGTCTATAAGGCCATATTTACTGGCCCAGGCTGCCCAGAGAAGCTGTGGCTGCCCCATCCCTGGAGGGGTTCAAGGCCAGGTTGGAGGGGGCTTGGAGCAACCTGGGCTGGTGGGAAGTGTCCCTGCCCAGGGCAGGGGGTGGCATTGGGTGGGCTTTAAGGTCCCTTCTAACCAAACCATTCTATGATATATCTCTTACTAGCTAGAGTACAATGCTTACACGGAGAACCCAAGCTCTCACCCATGGTACAAGCCAACACCAAGCAAGAGGGAGCCTGCGTGCCTCAGTTTCCCCCAAGGAACCACACTATCGCTCGCTTCCACTTTCAAGGAGGCCAAAAGAACATCTGCAAAGTTTTGGATGCTCCAGCGGGACCACATGAGCACTCGATGTGTGCATTCATTCATTCAGCAAAGAGCAGAAATTAAGATGAACAACCTGTTCCCTTCCATAACCCATCACTGGCAGGACCCAAGCTCAAATCCAGGAGCTCTGGGCCCAGCTCCCACAAGGTGGCCAATGTCATCAGACATTGCTTCCATAACGATAGCTGAACTGTCATTAACAGAAAAGCTTTGTAAATACAACCGGTTTAAGTTTTTATGTCAGCAGGGATGTACACAGCACAATCCCATCGTGGAGAGGACAAAGAGCCAAGTATTCCTTTAGGGAGGGGGGACACAGCACAAGCTCTGCTCGCCCTCCCCATCTCTTCTATCGCACCCTGGCCAACTCCAAACTGGATGGGCTCAACCCCTTCCCCAGACACACAACCCCCCTCTTCTGCACCCTTACACCTGAAAACAAGGTGTTATTGCCCAAACCCAAAAAGGCACCAAGAAAGAGGCAAGTTCAAGCCAGCAGGAAAGTCTGTTTGCATTTCATTTTGATTAGCCATGCAAATTACCACGCACATTAGAACCAGCCCTGTGGCCTCCTGGCAAGATATTAAGGCCACGCACAGCTCTCTGCTCCAGGTGCTTTGTGTACAGAGAGTCTCTCCTTCCTCCTCACAATGAGGGCACGGCAGGCAGGTACTGAGTTAACCACCCAAAAACCAGCCTCAGAACTGTTAAGGACCATGTTGTGCTTGCCAAATACCTCTGTATAGGAAGGTGCTGCAGCACCCACAGCATTGCTGGGACTGGTCCAGGGACATAGCCTGTTAAACACATATTTTATCAGCTAAAATACCATTTGAGCGGTGGAATTCCGAGTTGTAGGTGAGAAAAGGGTAGGAACAAAAAAAGCCACATGGGAGGGCAAGGGAAGCATTAGTCCTTGCCTGCCAGCCCCACCTCACAAGGTCCACACGGCATTAAAGGCTTATTGTCTCGGGTCCAGCTGGCGTTTCAAGGCACGTTCCCCGCTCCCAACAGTTAACAGCAAGTCAGCTACCACTCATTCTAATTTAGAAACTCGTTAGTACGTGCAGCTTCCTCTTCAGAGCCTCCTTGCCCCCACAGGCGATGTAACTCGTGTCTCTATTAGGTATGACTTCAGCCATCGCTTCCTCTGGCGCTGCTCTCCCCAGCCAGGCTGGTGGCAGAACCACTGAACATCACCACAATGGGGCAGCCCCTCTCCCACAGCTCACAGCCCCCTCCGAGCTCTCCAGGAGACCCCCTTTGATACAAACACCCCTTCCAGGGCAACTGGGGTCACCTTCCAACTCCAAACCTTCAACAGGGCAACAGTCAAAACCAACCTGAAAGGAGCCTGAGAAGAGATGCCCCCCAAGAGCAGAGGGGACACAGCCTCCTACGGTGACAACTGCATCAGTTGTCCATGAAGGGTGACAAACACCTGAAGCTGTTTGCGTACCAACAGCAAGAACCTGACTTCTCATGAAGGACAACCCCACCACCCAACAATTCCCTTTGTTTTTAAGCAGTGTGGAGAAGTCGAAGGGCACGGGGGCGGCTGGGAGACGGGGCTGCCCCTCCGTAGGGTGCAAAGGCTGCGTGCACAGCATTTCAGGGAGGAGGAGGAGGAGGAGGAAGGCAGATGAGAGGCGCCAGGGCAGGGTGGAGCGTCCTGTTTACGGCTGGGTGCTATTATCACCCCTCCGCACCGAGCCCACTCAGCAGCCACCTGGCCACGGGCTCTGGAGCTGGGCCAGGGCAGCTCCACAGCTGAGAAGTGACAGGTTGTGGCGCTTTTACTTTTCCTGTGAGGGTAAAACTGCTGCAGATAACAGACCCCTCCACCGTATCTCCGGGAGACATTCGGCCGCCCCCAGCTGCTGCAGGAGGCTTTCCTGCAGCCACCAGTCAGAGACTGGTTCAACGCAGACCTTTAAAAGAACATTTTCAATCCTGGAGTTCCGGATCCAGTGTCCCTCATCCTTCCCAACCACACCAACATCAGCTCAGAGCTTCCTAAACGCTCTGCCTAGGCCAGCCAGTCTCTGCATCTAAAACAGAAAATAAAAGTCTTAATAAACTTTTAAAAATCTCCAGGATCACTTCACAACGAGAAACACTTACAGCTGAATCACAAAAACTGATGGCAAGCAAAAAACTGAAATTCCCATTACTGCTTTCTTTAGAGCTGTAAAATTTTCTTCTTTCCCTTTCCAGAGTTCACTCCAGGGAAAGCGACCCTTTCCTATCAGAGGAATGTTTAGAAATTTAGGGACAAACTGTTCAGACCCGGACATTTTTGGAATATGTCCCTGCAAAGGTCTATCTTGAAATGATGAAGCATAAAATAACAGTGCCTGTTTAAATATAATCGGCTTCCAAGTTAACCATGGAAGGACGGGCTGCAGGAGGCCTCCCCAGGCAGGAAGCCTTCCCCTGCTCTCTGTGATATCAAGATGTACTCAAGGGGTTTGGGTGCAGTTTCCAGTTTATTGGCTCAAGCAAGATTTTTTAAGCTATCAAGAGAGAATTTGTAAGGGAGAGTTTAGCCGAGATGAAACCTAAGCAGTTCTGTCAATAACTAACTTATGCAAATATCTTCCATCCCAGTGTAACAGAAAACACTGCTAATTATTTAAGTTCTGTATCAGCTTTCCCCATCTACACCCTTTAATGTTCTTGACAACACACCACCTCAGATGCTGTGCCCGATTCGGGGGATTGGGGCAGGGAGATAACAGAAATGCCTAAATTCAATTTCTCATGGGTCTCTCAAACCACAGCAGGACCCTGTGACACAGAACCATCTCCCTTACTCAAAATATTCACACCAACCCAGGCTGGGTGTGTATCAGCGTCCCCAGCACCACTTCCTTGATCTTTAACATCTTCCTAGACAATCTGCTGGGAGATCTCTGTACAAAATGGGTTCATTTTGCACAACAGCTATTCGGATGCAGCTCAAGTGGCCCAAGCAGAAGGGACACAAGAAATATAATCTCAGTTTTTATTTCATTTTTTTTTCCCCCTCAAGGTGAAGCAGGTAAAGGAAATGGTGAGCCCTGACTTCAACACTGAGAAAATGCAACAGGATCAGTTACTTTTGAACAGTCCCAACCTTTAACATAGCAAAGACTTAACAATCTTTCCAGGGAAAGAATTGCTTTTTCCCAGCACTGTGCTCTTCCTGAGCCTCTCTGCATTCAGAAGAAATGTGAAGATTTTAAGAAACCATTCTCGTCCCCACCACAGCCGGCCCAGGCACTTCCTCACGCGCCCCAAGCTCCGCTGTCGCCTGCTGCGGCTGCAAAAGCGCTCCCAGAGAGGACTTTAATCTCTCACCCTATCTGAAACCAAGGCAGGATTATGCAAGGAATAAATGCTTTTGCTGTGGGAATCCCAGAAAGCCTAAAAGGAGATGAACAGGCAGTTTTACTTGTTCCTAATGAAATTTAAAATCCTGTGCTTTGTATGCTGCAGAAATCTGCAAACAGGCTAGAAAATAGAAGCATTTAACAGGAATTCACAGCACGTTCTGAGTGAGCTACTAAGATGGGAATGAAGGAAAGATCAGGAGCTGGAGAGGTGCTGGGATGAAAGTTCACAGGAGATCCAGAGAAGCCACCAGAACATCCTTAGCCAAGGTACCAAAAAGGTACTATAAATCCACAGGCTGTAAACCCCCATCACCTGAGGGGTCTCCACAAAAGATCTCCAGGACAAGAGCGGCAGCAGGACAACTAGAAACAACCCCTGGAGGCTGGACACAAGCTGCATTTTCTAGGAAAAAAAAATCTCACTTTATCCCAAAAGCAAGAAAGGCAAGTTATATTCAGCAGCAACACACCAGGGGAGAAGAATGCAGCAAGACAACCCATTGCAACCGATACATGTGGGGAGAGAAAAAGAACAATATGAATGTTAAGGGGCTTCAAAGAGGAGAATGAACCTGGAATTTGTGGGCAGATTAAAGGGTAAGGATACACACAATCCTCAGCTCCTGCAGAAGGAGTTACATCCAGCAGTAACTTCTGGCACCGAGTCCTTCCACCTCAAGTCTCTGCAAAGGAAGTATTCTACATCACTTT